TTAACCACTAAGAAGAATATATGCAGTGTATTATTTGTTGAAACTGTCCTTCCGATTTGATTTGAAACTGTCTCATTGCTATCTGTTTGTCAATAAAACTTTAAAAAAAAAAAAACCAAAAACACCATGCTATTTACTACTCAGATGATGATTATTTTTTTAACCAACAGCTAGTTTTACATAAATGTTGTACAATGCAAATGATAAGCTACACGATGAAATAAATGTACCTACAATTACTTAAAGTACAACCAGCTCTTCTGATACCACAGATTTTTCATATTTTTTAATATTTACTTAACTTGAACTCTAATATTATAAATTGTTCATATCACATTGCTTAAGTTTAAGTCATGGTGTTATTTACAAAATACATTAGACACCATTAAGGTGCACTGAATTTAACATTCTTGTTTTTTAATATCAACAGAATCAAATTCAAATTAATCAATCAGAATCAACAAACTATACAAGTCCTTCTTCTCTTTTCCTTTGCACAGAATTAATTTTACAAGTTCCTCTGAGATCTACTTAGTAAGGTCTGAAATAATATGCTGCATTAGTCTTAAATCACTCTTTAATAATCCTATGTTTATCTGTGAATAATAGGAAAAATATATAAAACTTTAAATTATGCAGATAATTTTTCATTTTGGTATTAATTAAATTTGTGCTAAATATATAAAATATTTAAATTATAATAACATACATAATCAATACATTGTCATATTTTAGAATACCACAGAACAGGAAGCTGTTTTGTTTCTCACTCATCACAGTGCATAAAACTGCATGAGTAATATTTTTTTGAGATATAACAATATATAGTAAAGAGTTATGATGAAAATGACATGAAATACAATGAATAGAGTAGACTTGGTCAACATATCGATTATAAGCATTTCAAACAAAAAAACTGAAATTAGTTTAAATAAACATGTAAATGTGATAGAAATTATATAAAATCTCATTAAATCATGAACATTTTGTAGATTAATATACTATTTATTGACTTTCTTTATCTTTTTAAACTAATACCAGTAAAGTTATTTGACTAATGCCTGAGTTACAGAAAAATTTGCATAAATATATGTAGTAGACAGTAGA